ACCGTTTGGAAGAAAAATGCCTGAAGAAAGGACACTGGGCATCTCAATCACCTCATGAGGGTCTGGGAATTCTTCTTAGAGGAATTTAATTCATTTTATTAGGCTGTACTCCTTGCTACTAGACCCAATTAACAATAATGTGAATAAATCATATTTACAAAGCTATACTGGGAAGTTGTGACTTCAGGATTTACAACTACACCTGTATGACTTGAATTGTTTTGCCCTCTGAAACATGTCTTCCTAACTCCATCACCAAGGGAGCACATTAACTTGTACCAGTAGCATACAGCCTATCTGTGTTCTGTGAATACTGTCTATGAGTGGTCCTCCCTCCATGACCTTACCCCACGTCATGATCTGGAGTTGGTGTTTCAGGGAAAATGTAAGGACACATATGTAAATTTATATGCTTTCTTTACATGAGGTTTTCTCTAAGGAGATTCTATGTAATAGACATTTAAAATAAACATACTTGCTTTTCCACCAACAGGACCAGGTAAGGCAAACACTGTATCCGGGCCTGCCTTCCAGTGCCTGGGAACTGCCTGGGGACTGCCACAGAGCCTCCCCTCCCAGCGGGAGCCAAACAAGTAAAAGACCTATATCATAAGAACTTTGAGTCTTTAAAGAAAGAAATTAAAGAAGCCCTCAGAAAATGGAAAGACTCCCATGCTCTTGGATAGGTAGGATCAATGTAGTAAAAATGGCAATCCTGCCAAAAGCAATCTACAGATTCAATGCAATCCCCATTAAAATCCCAGCACAATTCTTCACAGACCTTGAAAGAACAATAATCAATTTTGTATGGAAAAACATAAGACCCAGGATAGCCAAAACAACCCTGTTCAACAAGGCAATGTCCGGAGGCATCACCATCCCTGACCTCAAGCTCTATTATAGAGCTATAGTCCTGAAAACAGCTTGGTATTGGCACAAAAATAGACAGGTAGACCAATGGAATCGAATTGAAAACCCAGGTGTTAACCCACACACGTACGAACATCTGATCTTTGACAAAGAAGCTAAAACTATACAATGGAATAAAGAAAGCATCTTCAACAAATGGTGCTGGCATAACTGGAGACTGGCATGTAGAAGAATGCGGATCGATCCATGTTTATCACCATGCACAAAACTTAAGTCCAAATGTATCAAAGACCTCAACATAAATCCAGCCACACTGAACCTCTTAGAAGAGAAAGTGGGTGGTACCCTTGAACGAATTGGTACAGGAGACAGCTTCATGAACATAACACCAGTAGCACAGACAGTGAGATCAACAATTAATTAATGGGACCTACTGAAACTGAGAAGCTTCTGTAAGGCAAAGGACACAGTCAGCAAGACAAAAAGGCAGCCCACAGAATGGGAAAAAATATTCACTAATCCCACATCTGACAGAGGGTTGATCTCCAAAATTTACAAAGAACTCAAGAAGCAAGTCTCCAAAACACCAAAGGACCCAATTAAAAAGTGGGCTGCAGAACTAAATAGAGAGTTTTCAATAGAGGAGTCTAAAATGGCTGAGAGGCACTTGAGAAAGTACTCAACCTCCCTAGCCATCCGGGAAATGCAAATCAAAACAACTCTGAGATACCATCTCACTCCTGTCAGAATGGCTAAAATCAAAAACACCAATGACAATTTATGCTGGAGAGGATGTGGTGAAAGGTGGACACTCCTCCATTGCTGGTGGGAGTGCCAACTGGTTCAGCCACTTTGGAAATCAGTATGGAGATTCCTCAGAAAAATGGGAATAAACCTACCACAAGACCCAGCAACTCCACTCTTAGGCATATATCCAAAAGATGCCCATTCATACAACAAAGATGTCTGTTCCACTATGTTCATAGCAGCTTTATTTGTAATAGCCAGAACTTGGAAGCAACCTAGATATCCCTCAACCGAAGAGTGGATAGAGAAAATGTGGTACATCTACACAATGGAGTACTATTCAGCAGAAAAAAATAATGGAATCATGAGATTCGCAGGCAAATGGATGACACTAGAAGAAACCATCCTGAGTGAGGTAACCCAGTCACAAAAAGAGAAACATGGCATGTACTCTCTCATATATAGATTTTAGACATAGATCTGGGGAGTGCCAGCCTACAATCCTATGGCCAGAGAGTTTCTGGGAAACAGAAACTTCATTTAGTGGCTGATCGAAGAAGAGGCAGACTCCCTTGGTTAAGTACTGAGCTGAACTCAAGAAAGCCAATAACAGAGAGGGAGGACTGATGATCAAAGGGATTAAGACTGGGCTGGTTTAATCCCCAGAAACAGCTGACCAGACAAAGGTTAACTCTTGAATCCCAGGCATCAGCCTGGGAATCCAGCATGGGACTGATCAAGTCCCCCTGAATCTGGGTGTCAGTGAGGAGGCCGAGGTAATCTATTGAGCCTTGGGCAGCAGATCAGTACCCATCCCAAGTATACACATGGACTCCCATAGAACAATGTGAGGTGCACTCTCACCCTGAACTCTTGGGGAAGGGTCTAGGCCCTGCCCTATATGAAATGACAGACTATGGACACCCCCATGGAGGGCTTCACCCTCCCTGGGGGAATGAGGGGATAACGGGGGATGGGGGGGTTGGGGGGCGGGCATGGGAGGAGGGGAGGGAAAGGGAGAGGGACCTGGAACTGACTTGTGAAGCAACCTTGTTTCTTATCTAAATTTAAACTGGAAAATAAAATAAAAAAGAAAGAAATTAAAGAAGACATCAGAAAATGGGAATATCTTCCATGCTCTTGGATAGGTAGGATCAATGTAGTAAAAATGGCAATCCTGCCAAAAGCAATCTACAGATTCAAGGCAATCCCCATTAAAATATCAGCACAATTCTTCACAGACCTTGAAAGAACAATAATCAACTTTGTATGGAAAAACAAAAGACCCAGGATAGCCAAAACAACAAAGCAACATCTGGAGGCATCTCCATCCCTGATTTCAATCTCTATTACAGAGCTGTAGTCCTGAAAACAGCTTGGTATTGGCACAAAAATAGACAGGTAGACCAATGGAATTGAATTGAACACCCTGATATTAACCCATACATGTATGAACATCTGATCTTTGACAAAGAAGCTAAAACTATATAATGGAAAAAAGAAAGCATCTTCAACAAATGGTGCTGGCATAACTGGATGCTGGCATGTAGAAGAATGTGGATAGATCCATGTCTATCGCCATGCCCAAAACTTAAGTCCAAATGTATCAAAGACCTCAACATAAATCCAGCCACACTGAACCTCTTAGAAGAGAAAGTGGGTGGTACCCTTGAACGAATTGGTACAGGAGACAGCTTCATGAACATAACACCAGTAGCACAGACAGTGAGATCAATAATTAATAAATGGGACCTCCTGAAACTGAGAAGCTTCTGTAAGGCAAAGGACACAGTCAGCAATACAAAAGGCAGCCCAAAGAATGGGAAAAGATATTCACTAACCCTACATCTGACAGAGGGCTGATCTCCAACATTTACAAAGAACCCAAGAAGCAAGTCTCCAAAACACCAAAGGACCCAATTAAAAAGTGGGCTGCAGAACTAAATAGAGAGTTTTCAATAGAGGAGTCTAAAATGGCTGAGAGGCACTTGAGAAAGTACTCAACCTCCCTAGCCATCCGGGAAATGCAAATCAAAACAACTCTGAGATACCATCTTACTCCTGTCAGAATGGCTAAAATCAAAAGCACCAAGGACAGTTTATGCTGCAGAGGTTGTAAAGAAAGAGCACTCCTCCATTGCTGGTGGGAGTGTCAACTTGTACAGCCATTTTGGAAATCAGTATGGAGATTCCTCAGAAAAATGGGAATCAGCCTACCACAAGACCAGCAATTCCACTCTTAGGCGTATATCCAAAAGATGCACATTCATACAAGAATGTCTGTTCCACTATGTTCATAGCAGCACTATTTGTAATAGCCAGAACTTGGAAGCAACCTAGTTGCCCCTCAACTGAAGAGTGGATAGAGAAAATGTTGTACATTTACATAATGGAGTACTATGCAGCAGAAAAAAATGGAATCCTGAAATTTTCAGGCAAATGGATGGCACTTAGAAGAAACCATCCTGAGTGAGGTAACCCAGTCACAAAAAAGACAAACATGGTATGTATTCTCTCATATATGGATTTTAGATATAGATCTGGGGAGTGCCAGCCTACAATCCCATGGCCAGAGAGTCTGGGAAACAGAACCTTCATCCAATGGCTGATGGAAGCAGAGGCAGACTCCCACTACTAAACACTGAGCTGAACTCAAGGAACCCAGTGACAGAGAGGGAGGACTGATGAGTAAAGGGGTTAAGACTGGGCTGGTTTAACCCCCAGAAACTGCTGACCTGACAAGGGGTAGCTCCTGAATCCCAGACTGATGCCTGGGAATCCAGCATGGGACTGATCAAGACCCCCTGAATGTGGGTTTCCGTGAGGAGGCCTAGGCAATCTATGGGGCCTTGGGTAGAGGATCAGTATTTATCCCTGACATACAAATGGACTTTGGGTGCCCATCCCACAATGAGAGATGCACTCTCAGCCTGGACTCTTGGGGGAGGGTCTAGGCCCTCCCCTGGATGAAATGACAGACCATGGACACCCCCATGGAGGGCCTCACCCTCCCTGTGGAAAAGAGGGAGTATTGGGGGAGTTGGTGGGAGGGTGTAGGTGGAGAGGAGAGAAAGGGAGAGGGACCTGGGGTTGACATAAGAGATGCACTCTCAGCCTGGACTCTTGGGGGAGTGTCTAGACCCTTCCCTGGATAAAATGACAGACTATGGACACCCCCATGGATGACCTCACCCTCCCTGGGGAAAGGAGGGAGTATTGGGGGGGTTGGTGGGAGGAGGGGAGGGGAAGGGAGAGGGATGTGGAACTGACATGTGAAACAACCTTGTTTCTAATTTAAATTTAAATTTAAAAATAAAAATAAAATAAACACACTCATAATTAAGCTCTTAAATAATTCACAGTCCATCACATACCCCAGATGATATTTTTATAATGTGTTTATTTGTGTACAAAATATGTTGTAATTTATTGATGCATGTGCAGCAAAATATTCTATCACATACAACAAAAAATACATCTTTGACTCCCATTCTCCTTCTCGTGGAAATGGCAACACTGTTTTGGCATTTCAGCAGCTAAAAATAAAGTGCTATTATTAAGCAGTATTGGAATGTCTTTGCTTGACAAATGTGATGTACAATGGAGTATACAACCACATCTTGTTTGTTGTTTTTTCATAGAACAGGAAGCTCCAGGTCCTGAACACCTCCAGAAGATACAAATACTTGTATATATATGTACATGTGTATACACTGTATATATAAAGTGCCAACAAGCCTCATTGTCTGAGTGAGTTTGCTGTGTTCATGCTCAGTCCCCTGTCTCCTGTAGAGTCACAGTCACACCACTGAGATCTCAAGAGTTAGTCAACAGGCACCTAGAAGCTCACCAAAGGCTGGCATGTTGGGTTTGTGGTGTTGGTGAGGGCATACGGATCAGCCCTTCAGACCTCACTGGGGGACCTGGAGCGGAAGGGCACTTTGTATTGGAAACAGCCACAGAGCAGGAGCCACAAGGCACGCTGGATCTCCTGGTTGCGGAAGGCATAAATGATGGGATTGATCATGGAGTTATAGGTGGCGGGCAGCAGGGTGGCATAGGTATAGATGGCCGGGTCCTCTTGACTACCCACCACACAATAGATGGCAAAGGGCAGCCAGCTGGCCCCGAAGGTGCCTAGCACCACGGCCAGAGTTCCCACTCCCTTTCTGGTGGCCGCTAGGTGGGGCGGCGCCAGACAGTGCTGCTGCAAGGCGATCTGGTGGGCGTGGCGCCAGACCACCTGGCAGATGCGCACGTACAGGTGCAGCATGATGCCAAAGACCACAAAGAAGGAAGTGGAGAGCAGCGCCACGTGGCTGCGTGTCAGGGGGCGCACCACACTGCAGGATGAGCGGTCGGCCAAGCAGTTCCAGCCTAGCACGGGCAGCAACCCCAAAGCGAGCGACACTGTCCAGGTGGCTGCCAGTAAGAGGTGCACGCCCAACAGGGTCCGGCGCGAGTAGTAGGTGAGCGCGTTGTAAAGGGACAGGTAACGGTCCACTGTGATGGCAAGAAGGCTGCTGACTGAGGCGGCGAAGGAGGCCACCAGGAAGCCCACCATGAGCAGGCTCACAGTCTCCGAGGGCACCACGTATTGGAACACAAAGTGTAGGATGAGGCCACAGCCCGCCAGCAGGTCGGCAGTGGCCAGACTACCCACGAGCACAAACATGGGCGTGCGCAGCGCGGGAGTGGATGCGATGAGTGCCACCACCAGCGCATTTTCGCCTGCGATCACGGTCCCCGACACACACAGCAACACATCCCAGGGATTCACTGCTGAAAGCAGTAGTCCGGACGGCCCTGCTGGCAGCTGCGAAGACAGCTCCAGTGACCCGTTAGGTCCGCTGCCACCTCCCAGCGCCGCCGATGCTGCTGGGGGTCCCCATTCGCTGGTGTCCGGTGCCCCTGCTGCTGTGGCCGCAGCTGCTGCTCCCTCGGCGGCCACTGCCACCACCTGGGACTCGTTGAGCGAGGCGGCGCTCGCGTTCATCGCCGCCAGATGTTGCTCCCTGAACAAAAAGGGACCGCAGATTGTCAGGTGCACTCTCCAGGTTACCAAGGAACTTTCTCGCGCAGGTGCCCTGCTCAAAATGCTTCATTCAAATTGCATATCCCAACTCGGGAGTATGGAGCATAGTGGGGAATTGGGGATAAAGTAGGAACCCCAAATAAGTAAGCACCTGTTGAGTGAATGAATGAAATACACGGGGCTTCTGAGCTTTGGCACAGATACACATATAGATTTCACTGTGCACTTTCATGGGCAATCCGATATATATATATATTTGAGCTTGCACAAGTGCCCAAATAAGTCACTCCTCTTGTAAATGGTCTTAGCTGGGCAAAGACGCTGTCCGAGGTGCTGAAAGCGAAGTTTCAGGTCTCAGCATGCAGAGCAAGGAGCCAGAGACCCCGGATCAGGAATTGGTAACAAAACGACTAAGGGGGAGTGTGCTAGGTACAGTGGTTAAACCTCGCTTCGATTCTCTGACTCCGGGACAGACTCACTCCAGGACTACCTCTTACCACATCGCCTTCCCCACACGCTCAAAGTACCCCTGGAAGCCTGTCACTCACCTGGGGAGTCAAAGCTCCGGGAAGTCTCTGGTCATGCGCTCCGTGGCTGTGTGCCTGGTTATGCTCTCTGCATGGCCAAGCGGCTGCCTGCAGAAGGCGGCCCCGGCGTCCAGGAGGAAAGCGCTGGTCTCCTGTCGTTGAGCCACCACCGCGAGTGACAGAGAGGCAATGGCAAAGAAGGAAGCTGCGAGCAGCGCGCCCGCCCGAGATTGACAGGCGGGGCCCGGTGACGTCAGGCTCTGGGTTCTGGTTCCAGTGGAATACTCGCCACACCCGCCAGGCCAATCCTTGAGGTTCCCCCAACCCCTCACAGAGACATCTCAGAGAGCTCCAGAAGGGAGGAGAAGCCAGAGCCTCCAACAATCCAGAAACCTCCAGGAATGGGATGGGGATGAGAGGAGAGGGAGAAAGGAACAAGACCCGAGGCCAGGCACAGAGGGTGAGCGGGAAAAGGAAGGCGAGGGATGAGTGACAATAAGCCACAGAGCAAAGGCCAGAGGCACGGATCACCGAGGGGCAGGAGAAGAAGCCATGAAGAAGGGGAGGTTGGGACCGGGGCATCTGGAGGGAGAGAGAGAGAAAAAAAAACTCAGGGAAAGTAGTTCTTTTAAGCGTTTACAGCGTTTGTGTCGCTTGAGTAGAGCCAGGGAAGAAGCAAGGAGCCCGGGAGAGCAGGGAAAAGGAAATAAGGACAGCTGGGACAAGCTGGCATCTTCTCCAGGAGGAGTTTACCTGAGCAGCCCTCTCTCCCATTGTCTTTCTGAGTGCTGCTCTGCAGGTTTCACCATGATCTCCGCCCTTCTTGCTGCTGCCCTTGCTACTGCTATTTAATTGAAGACAAGGTCTGTGTCTTGTTAGAAAAGAAGAAAACAGCAAAATGTGATTTACTTTGCTGGCAACAGACTTTGCCCTGTTAATTAGTACCTTATAAAACAAATTATAGGACCAAAATAGTGGTAACTCAGCTGCAGCAGACTTCAGTAGGCAGGGGTTTTATTTTCAGCCTAGATAAATCACCCATTTGGTTTAAAGGTGTTTTGTTTTGTCAGTAAAATGCAAGTCTTTGTCTTTTTCTTTTGCAGTCAGAAAGAATCTCCAATCGCTATACTTGTACCAAAAGCTAAAGTAGCTGACTTTGTTTGAGGCTCTGAAAGAAATGATTGCACACTGCTATAATGGCATTGGATTGAAGCTATAACTGTAGCCTTCACACTCTACATGATTTGAAATAAAGCAACACACATTATAGGGGCCTCTTGCCTCCTCCCCAGCTGATGCTTGGGTTCATTTTTACATATAGCTCCAGGGATGGAAAGAGGGAGGAAGAAAGGAAGGAAGGGAGGGAGGGAGGGAGGAAGGAAAGAAGGAAGTACTGGAGGGAGGGAGGAGAGAAGGAAGGAAGGAAGGAAGGAAGGAAGGAAGGGACTCAGCTTGCCCATAGTCTGGGGACATTGATTTACCAGTATTGGCCACTTTAAACAGGACCTCCCAGTCCACCCCTGCTCCTGCCTCAAGATACCTGAACTCATCTGGGAGAGGGTGTGGGCCTAAGAAAGTTCAACTCTTTATGGCAATAGCTAGTGTTGGGTTATGAATGAATTTGTCCTCTGTTTGAGGGGTTTCAAGACTTAACACACTCTACCATTGCTGCAAGCCTTGGCTGATGTTCCAAGTTGCCTAAAAGACTAATTTTGGGTTTCAGTGCAAGACTGTCATGTCAGAGCCAAGAACATTGTTTCAGAACTATCAAACCACTGCATGTTTGCAAGTAATTACATCAGGCACAGGCCTAGGCCCTCAGGTATGCCCCAAGATAGCTAAGCATGCAGGCCAACACAAAATCATATTATGAGTTTTTTTCTCTGTAGCTGGTCACATAGTTCTTAAGCATGAACCCAGTAAATGACAACACAGTCTTGCAATGTCCTGACAGGAGAGGTCCAAGTCTGTTCTAGTTTCACACACCGTAACACAGGAGAATCAATCTGAGCACACCTTACCCTTTGTCTTCACACCCTTAGTTTTGTCATATCCAAAAATAAACATGATTTGGGGGGTGTCTTAGCCAATACCCTATTGCTGTGAGGAGATACCATGACTGTACCACACCCTTAGTTTTGTCATATCCAAAAATAAACATGACTTGGGGGGTGTCTTAGTCAATACCCTATTGCTGTGTAGAGATACCATGACTGTAGTGATTCTTATAAAGAAAAGCATTTAATTGGGGCTGGCTTACAGGTTCAGAGTTTTAGTCCACTGTGGTCACGGCAGGAAGCATGGCAGCACACTGTCAGACATGTTGCTGAAGGAGGACTGGAGAGCTATACATCTGAGTTAGCAGGCATCAGGGAGAGAGCAACACTGGGCCTGGCTTGAGCACTTTAGACTCCAAAGCCCATCCTCAGTGACTCACTTCCTTCATCAAGGCCATACCTACTCCAGCAAGGCCACACCTCCTAATGCCACTCCCTAAGCATTCAAGCACATGAGTCTATGGGGGCCAGTCCTACTTAAACCACCACAGAGGGTGAGCTGACTCGAGGAATCATACAGGAATGCAGTGGAAAGTCTGTAAACTGCCTTTGGGTTGTGTGGTTACTTTCTCAGATGTAGGTCCTGAGAATTTTCCCTCCCTCATTTCTGCTCATCTCTTGGGATATAGAAGGGAAAAAGCCTTGAAATTGCCCCTTTATATCTCCACCATAAGTCTTCCAAACTTTGAACTACCTTGAGTCTGTTTTTATTCTGTGAATTCTTTGGCCTTGTTTACAATATCCAACTCAGTGTGTTTTTTTTTTTTTTGTTGTTGTTGTTTTTTTTTTTTTTTGGTTTTTCGAGACAGGGTTTCTCTGTGGCTTTGGAGGCTGTCCCTGAACTCACTCTGTAGACCAGGCTGGCCTCGAACTCACAGAGATCCGCCTGCCTCTGCCTCCCGAGTGCTGGGATTAAAGGCGTGCGCCACCAACGCCCGGCTTCAACTCAGTGTTTTGTTCATGCACCAGGTGCTTGTCGTGCCCTGGTTATGTTTTGGGAGTCTGAAAAATTTGCCTCCCGACTTGCAGTCTCAGGGTTGGCTCGTTATCACCAGTCCAGTGACAAGTTCATTGTAACCCTGTTTCTTCATATCCCAGCAGCCACCAGCATGGGCATGAGGAAGCTGCCCTGTCTGAGATGATGTCTGTTTGTCAACCCCACCTCTCTCCAGCCTCCGTCAGCATCTTTCCCATCTCATCCCATTACCACGGCTCTCAACCCTGACTCTACATTAGAATTACCTAGAAAGTTTTTGCTAAAAAACCACTGGTTTCTAAATCCCTTGCCAATAGACTAATTTATTTGATCTGAAGTCATGCGCAGGCATTTTATTTTCAACCCGTAAAGCCAAAATTGAGAACACTCATGGATGCAATCATGTGGTTCTCTTGTCAGGTGAGTGTACAGTGAATCCCCGAGATAACATTATGCAGTTCAGAATAGGTACAAAAAACGAATTGGCAGAAATCCAGCTGTAAGTCACTCAGTGAGTGTATTTCTGGTTTCACCCACCAACTGAACTTCTGCAGACCTTCAATTCTCTGTGTTCACAAAGAAGCTCATTTCCATCCCACAATGAAGGCTGACACTTGGTTCTTTCTGGACCTAGAGGGAGTCAATGGCCTCATCAGGAAGTACTAAACTTTGGCCACCTTCTCTCTCTCTCTCTCTCTCTCTCTCTCTCTTTCTCATACACACACACACACACACACACACACACACACACAGAAAGGGTAGGGGCAGAGAAAGAGAGAGGGTCAAGGAAGAGAGGGAAGAGAGAGAGAGAGAGAGAGAGAGAGAGAGAGAGAGAGAGAGAGAGAGAGAGAGAGAGAGATTGGTTCTTAGAGACAAGCAATGCAGTTCTTTCCTAGAAAGTGCAAGTCTATCTGGTGGCACACTGGTCCTTGTCCTGACAGGTCAGAAAGACAGAAAATGCTGGATGAGATATTTGAGGTCATTTATTAAGAAAGAGCACTCCTGGAGAGGCGGAAACCATAGTCACTGAGTCCAGGTCCCAGATGTTGGATGGTGTGTAAGCTTTTGGGGACATATGGTGAGGCAGGTGAATTTTATCAAAAATGTATTCTTAGTTCTCTGCTTTTACTTGTGTCCAAAGTATTCTTTCACCATCATGCATCAACTGTGTCTCACAATGCGGGACGCCCATTCCCTCAGCGTGTCCAAACACGGCAAGGACACTCTTCCTTTGTGCCAACTGGGCGGTTTCATCCCACAGTCTCAAGAGAGTGATATTGGAGCAATACAGCAATGCACAGAACCCTATGCAGAGCAGTTGAGAGTTGGGGGTTCATCAAGTTAGAAAATAACTTTTTTTCCAGGAAAAACAATGGCTTTTAAGATCACTTATTTTTTAGAAAGTAAAATACTGAACTGTATAGAAAGCATAGTCTTATATCTTAGGTGACTGACTGTTGGATATGAGACTGTTAATCAGAAAGTTACATCTACTGGTGTATTTGAAAAGAAACTTGGAGGCAGTCTACCCATTGTTTGAAGTGCTTTGACACTAGTGAGTTCATATTCATTATCTCATTTTATTCTTTGAAACAATCACATGAACTAAGGCTATTATCTTTGCTACTGGAGCAACTCAGGTTCAGGGAGGTAAAAAGAACTGTGACAGTGCACACAGGGCACAGGCAGGAAGCCTGCCTCTAGACTGGGTTCACTTAATTTGGCACTGGTGCTTATCAAGGGCTCCGTAAGGGCTGGGGGTTATCCGTGGGGAGAACAGGAAGTGTTTCTCCATCCTCCCTTGGCGGGGCGGGAGGGGGGACGACCCTTGTGCCCTCTGGGAGTTAGTCTGCTTTTTTCTCTCTCTGTCTGGGTCCTGAGTGCAGGTGGCACCTGGTGAACAGTGCAAGGGTCAGGTCTGTCTTGGCCGGCTCTGCCCGCGAAGCCACGGGTCACTAGAATAGGGATCTCCCTGAGTGCGAGGGCTGGTGCTGACCCCTCTCAAGACTTCAGTCTGGGCTCTTCTAACTTCCCTTGAAGGGAAGGCGAGCATCAGGGCCTGGGAGACAGACATAACAAGCAAACACAAAAATGCCTTCCCTCCCCATCTCACCCTGCTCTTCTGCTTCATGAGAAAAGATGGGCTGAAGTTAGAACACATTGCACGATTAACTTAGATATGGGCTGCCCACCACTTGAGTAATTAGATAACCTGTGACTAGCTACTGACACTCTCAATGGGGAAGACAGGAAAACACACATCAAAGTGTGCAAACCTGTACAGACACAAAACTTCCCAGGGCTAACCTCTGGAGAGGTAGCTCCAAATAATAGGGGTGGAATTTTTTAACCTCATTATGACTACTGGTAGCATTTTATAGGTGAACGTTTTCTGTTTCATGAGTCGTTTTTAAAATACATTGTTACCATGAAGAGGAATTTTTAAAGAAAATAATAAGCCAATATTTTCACCAGCTAAACAGGATTACTAGACACACTGTCGAACTCTTGAAGTGATGGGACCATGTCAATTAATCTTTCCATTACTATTATGTAGCACAGAATGAATGCTAAGAAAATCTATCGAATGGCTACTTCCAGGACTATCCACATGTACATTATATTTTATATAGTACAATTTATATAATGTACAATTTAATAAACAAATTAATAATAAAATGTATATTGTCAACATTTCATGTTTTGTCATAATCATAATTTATTACTTTTACTTATTTATTTACTTATTACATTTATTAAATACA